TCTATATACTTGCATATTTTAAAGCCTTGCCTCACTCATACAAAGCCTCACACCCTCTCAAATGACTCTGCACATTGAGAAATTCCACTCAACTTTCTTATGTACTCAGTCACGTCACCAATAAAACACTGAGAGGGCAACAGAATGAAAAATTCACTTAACTTGCATAATATGAGTTGAACATTTGAGGGTTGGTAAAATATATCCAGTTACAATTTAAAAATTAGTGCATAAGCAAAGTACCTTTTTAACTCTAATAAATTTGGCCAAGTTGAAACATATTTTTCAATGGATCACCAAACACGAGTGATTTAGGCCTGATCTACAACTAAAATTTAGATTGACCTAGCTATGTCACCTGGGTGTGAAAAACCTCAGACCCCTGAAAGACCTAAGCTGCCGTAACCCCCAGGGTAGATGTTGCTAAGCCAATGGAAGAATTCTTTCAATCCACCACTCTGAGAGGCAGTATCTAGGTTAACTATTGAATGGAAAACACCCTTCCATTGCTGTAGCGAGGGTCTTCAGTATGGCACTCGAGCAGCAAACCTGCAGCACCATAGACGTGCAGCTGTATCGTAGACATAGCTTTAGCGACTCTGTAGTCTACACTACAGACCTATATCAGTATACCTACATCGCTCATGGGTTTGAAAAATCCACACCCCGAGTTACGTAGTTATAGTGACGTAACCCCTTGTGTACAGTGCTCTGTTGGTCGGAGAGCTTCTCCCGGCGAAATAGCTACTGCCTCTTAAGGAGGTGGATTAACTATGCCAACAGAAGAATTCTCTCCCGTTGGCTTAGAGTAGTGGCTCTCAACCTATTTACTACTGTGGGCCGCATATGCAGCTCTGTCTGAAGTTATGTGGTCCACATCCACACAATACATATACTGTACTGCCCTGACGACACCACATGGGCCACAGCTGTGTGCTGATCAGGCCACAAGCGGCCTGCGGGTTGAGAATCATTGGTTTAGAGTGTCTTCATTAAAGTGCTACAGAGGTGCAGCTGTGCTGATGCAACATTTTAAGTGTAGACATGCCCTCAATTTCTACATCAACACTAAGGCTATGTCTACACTTAAACAGCTATCTCTTTAGTGCTTCATGGTTCTCCCATCCCTCTAGTTAATCTACCTCATTAAGAGGTGGTAGCTGGGTCAACAGAAGAATTCTTCCACTGACCTAATGCTGTCTACACAGGGGTTTAGGCTAATTGAGCAATGTAGCTGTGTCAACCTAACTTTTTATTGTAGGCATGGCTAGAGGCATTAGAGGACTTTCTTAAAATAGCTCAAAACTCTATTGTTCTCTCTCCAGTCTTTTTCAGCATCCTCCAAAGCACTAAAGACCAGGAAAGGAAATCTAAAGTTGCTACCCACCCATACTTGGCTCCGCTCTAACTAAGATCTTCTGCAAATGAAGCCACCTACTCTAAATTTAGAAGTTTAGATCTGATTACATTGTTAAGGGCCATGAAAAATTGTGTGTCCTGAGCACTTAAGTCAACCTAACCCCCAGTGTGGATGCAGCTAGGTCAATGGAAGAATTCTTCCAGTGGCCTCACTACCGCATCTCGAAGGTGAATTAACTCTGGCTGGTCTATGCTGAAAAGTTACATTGACATAGCTGTGTCTCAGAGGTGTGAAAAATCCACATCCCAGGAAACATAGCTAAACTGACCTAATCTCTAGTGTAGACTGCCTTAGGGCAATGGAAAAATTCTTCCATCAATCTAGCTACTGCCTCTCGGGGATGTGGATTACCTATAGTGACAGAAGAAACCCACCTGTCACTGAGGTAAGTGTTTACACTGAAGTGCCACAATGGTGCAGCTGTAGCGTCTTAAGTGCAGACATAGTCTACTTCAATGGAAAAAATCCCCTTCAGTCAATGTATGCTACGGCGTTACAGCAGCACAGCTGCAGCACCATAGGTGTGCTGCTGTAGCGTAGATATGGCCTAGAATTCTCCTTTCACATCCTGGCAGAAACCCCATACCTGAGAGTTACAGGGTAGGGCTAGGCTTCTCATCATCTTGTCCCTGTATGTCACTAGAGGAAGTTGCCCCTGCTTAACTCTCTGGATCAGATTTATGGTCCATCTACTCTAGTATTCTATCTCCAACAGTACCCAGATTTCATGTTAACAAAGCAATGAGAATATTAAATCAATCAAGTAATCTGACTATAGTTAGACTTCTAAAATGGGCAGTTTTTAATCAGATGGAAGTGAATTTAGCATCCAAGCTAGTATGTGGCCCTGAAGCAGAAGTCTTTGCAAAACCCACTAATCTTGTCAAGAAGGAATATAGTACTGCAGTTCTTACTCTTTGAAAGCAAATTATAATGTTTTAAATATTTAAAAAAAATATTCAAAAGCAATACTACAATAACTGGGGTGCGATGATATAATTTTAGATATAATCATGTATTAGTCTGCTTCTTACAATAAGAAGCAGTACAAGCTCCTGGGGTGTGGATTTTTGGGTGGCTGAAGATATTAAATGAAACCCCAAAAGCCATTTCCAAAGTTTAAGTCTATAGTATGGCTTTGTACCAGTAATGTTACTTATGAATGTGTCCCATTATTTGGGAGGCATCTTACACACAAGATGGATATTCTCTTGAAATAAAACTAGAGCATATGTACATATCATCCAAGTTTCTATTAACCACGAACACTTTCATCCCTTCCATTTAATATAAAGATTTCAGTAAATCACAAATTAAAAGTCAAGGGATTGAAAAAGAGAAAACCACTTCTTCTTATAGAATTAATCTAATCTTTTACCTAGTTTAAGACTTGTGTTTTAGACCCCATGTCATCACCATGAGAGTCTTTATGGAAAGCAGGTATTTTATGTAAATAATGCAATCATATTGTCATCTGTTCATCCATAAATAAAGGCAGTCGGTAATACTTAGCAGCAGTAAGGTCTTCTGCTAAGTATGACAACTTCGCAAACACTATCTTTGCCTGCCTTACTCCAAAAAAAAAAAAAAAAAAACACAACCAAACAAACCCACCCAACACTGATGATACACATTTCCCTCCAAAACATTTTAGAGAGATGACAGGACATAGACAGCTGGTGCTCTCTAAATCTGCTAGCATTAATTATGGCAGTCATTGTACTCTGTGGTTCAACAGCTAAGTCCTGTGAAACTGAATAAAAATATTAGGGCATTCAGAATGTTGTTTTTTATGTTGCCAGGGTCAATACATTGACCTTTTAATAGTCACCTTTGACAGCTCATATTGGAAATTATAGAGTTTAGGATCGTCAGTCATAAGCCAGAACATATTTCCTCTTAGTCCCAACCCCAAGAAAAACTCACTCCCAGTGGAACCATGAATGTGTGATCTGACTGGTGTGTCAGATAAGAGAAACAAACGTGAGAATAGGCCAGGATTAAAGCAGAAATGCCTACCTCTCTCTCCACAAGAATTGCCTTAAAATTTAATCACACACAACTCAAAACAAGATGACTTCTAAGGTAACATGGTTAGAAATTTTCTACTGAGTCCTGCTGACATTTCACTAGAAAATACAACAGCCGGGCTTTAACACTACTGCACTAGTAGCAAACCCTCACGATTCCAGTCTGCACCTGCAGCGTAACAACCAGCCCTTGTACCCACGCCCATAGCAGCCCCCACTACACCCCCGTCCCCCTCACACACACCCAGACACACCTAGGTCCAGCCACCAGACATCTCTCCCCCTAGGCCCCCATCGCACCCCTCCCACCTCGTAGAGACGCCGGCAGGGCACACGCCCCTTCTTCCCTGTGGCAAGCGAGGATCACTTACTGAGCTGCCCGGGACCGGGCTCCTTGCCGCTGGCCGCCGCTGCCCCCGGCGCCGCGCAGGCAGCTCCCCACAGGCCCGGGGCTCCCCCCGCGGGCGGGGTGCCGCTCTGCCGCTCGAAGTTGCCCGGGTTGGAGAAATAGTCGCGCAGGCGGGGCAGCTCGCGGCCGCTCTCCAGCAGCTCCGTGTGCAGCTCCAGCGCCGTCAGCAGGAACTGGTCCCGCAGCAGCTGCGCCGCCAGCGCGTCCACGGGCACCCGGGGTGGCTCTCCGGCGCCGGGCCCGCCCCAGCCGGCCTCCCCGAGGGCTGCCGCCCGCAGACCCGGCAGCGCCCCGGGACCGCCCACAGCCGCCTCCTCCTCCTCCTGCTGCGGGGAGAGCGGGCCTCCCGAGCCTGGATCGCTGTTGCCGCCGGCTCTCGGCTCCTCCGCCTCGTCTTCCTCGGAGTCGCAGAGGAACGGGTTCACGCTGCTGCCTCCGCCCGCCGCCGCCATCTTACAGCGCGACACGGGCCGCGCAGCCGCCTCCCACCCGCCTGGCCTGCCCAGCGACACGCCCTGGCCCCTGCTGCTGCTGCGGCGCCGCCTCTCCAGCCCCGCGGCGCCGGGACCAGCTCCGGGCGCGGCGCCCCAGTCACTACTAGGGGTGCCGCCGCCGCCACTAGCAAGGGTGCACCGCGACTCTCGTCCTGCCTCCCTCCCCTGCCGGCTTCCGGGTGACAACTCTCGCGAGATTTCCCCGTCCAACCGCAAGCAACGGCCGGAGCCGGAGCCGGAGTCGGAGGCTCCACCCCCCTTCCCCTGTCAAGTGCAACGGAATCCTCCCACAGACAAGAAGAGGAAGAGGCGGGGCCTGAGCAGAAGCCTGAGAAGGGCGAGGTTTAGGGCAGAAGGGGCGGGGCTTACGGGTGACGGACACACGGGAGAGGCTGGAGCCATAAGGAAATAGGAGGGAGATGGGCGGAGTGTATGTTAAGAGGGGTTTACAGTGTGAGAAGGTTGCTGAACCTTAGATTGGTAACCAATTTATTTGAGCATGAGCTTTCGCCCCAACTTTTTTTTGGGGAGGGGGGTTGGGGGGGCCTGGCCCGTGGAAGCACGTGATGGGGGGCTGACCTCTTTTGCAAGTGGAAGGGACGTGGCCTGGAGGCGGAAGTGGGTGGGTGGTTACAGCCGGGATCAGTGTCTGGGACTAGAGACAAGCTAGGGGTGGAGCGATAGGCTGCGAGGTCTCGCGAGAGTGTCCGCGAGGCCGGAACGGAAGCGTGGGGCGGACGTTGGTGCCGGCGCTGGCGGCCCGTGTGAGCTAGTAAGTAGCCGCGGAGGCGGCGCTTGCGCAGTTCGCTCCTGGGGTTGGGTGTGGGGCGCCGGGGCGGCTGGGGTTCCTACGCTGCCGCGCTGCTGGAGCCTCCGGCGCGCTCTGCGGGGCGGCTCGTGCTCGGCCGGGCGGGGCGGAGCCGGGGGCGGGGGTTGGCTCGGTCGCTAGCAGGTGCGGGAGGGGCGGGGACTGCCGGGGGGCGGCTGATCCCTGCGCCTCGCCAGGTTCGCGGGCTCGGGCTCATCCCGTGTCCCGGTTTATTGTCTCTCAGTGGTGACGACCCCGCGGGGGCAGCCAGGGAGCTACCGCCGGGACCCCCTCCCTGCTGCCTCGGCAGCGGGGCGGGGACCGCTGAACACGAGCCCCAGAGTCTCGCATGGCAGCCAGACATAACCCGGCATGAGGGCTGCCCATGCAGCAACTCTCTCCCCCCACCCCCGCGATACAGCCCTGTGATGCAGCGGTGATGGGGGGCGAGGTTAGAATGACCAATGATAAGTAAGAGCCAAGGTGGGTCAAGTACCATTTTTCATTGGACCCACTTCTGTTGGTGAGAGAGAGAGAGAGAAGGTTTTGAGCTATGTGGAGCGCTTCCTGTCTGTGAAGCTTGAAAGCTTGTCTCTTTCACCAGCAGATACCAGCTCATTCACCTTCTCTCTTTAAAAAGAACAGGAGTACTTGTGGCACCTGAGAGACTAACAAATTTAGTATTCTGGGACCAGAACAGCTCCAACAACGCTACAAATGTCCAGAAATCAATAACTATCCTGAGCAGGTGGAGTGTTGCTTCCTGGGTTACAGTGAGAACTAGCTGGAGGGCCAAAGCAAAGTGGCAATTTGAGCTAAAGTGCTGCAGTGTGCTTACATGTTGTTTTTCTCAATGACTTCAAGCTGAAATGTGTTCTGCTCACTAGAGCTGTTTTTCCCCCCATCTTCCTTTCCTAAAATCAGTGAGTCTAGCTGGGTTCTTTCTATTTTATGTATCACCAGTAATAAAGATCTCTCCAGATCCAAATGTGTGCTATGTGATGCCTGTGCAGCTGCATTGACTATGGTTTTCAGAATAGCAGCCGTGTTAGTCTGTATCCGCAAAAAGAAAAAGAGTACTTGTGGCACCTTAGAGACTAACAAATTTATTTGAGCATAAGCTTTCGTGAGCTACAGCTCACTTCATCACATGCATTCAGTCTTCAACAAAAAAACTTCAAATACAGACTCCAACGAGAGAGTGCTGAATTGGAATTAATTTGCAAACTGGACACTGTGGAAATTAGGCTTGAATAAAGACTGGGAGTGGATGTGTCATTACACAAAGTAAAACTGTTTCCCCATATTTATTCCCCCCCCCTCCACCCCCCACTGTTCCTCACACGTTCTTGTCAGCTGCTGGAAATGGCCCACCTTGATTATCACTACAAAAGGTTTTGTTTTCTCTCCTGCTGGTAATAGCTCATCTTACCTGATCACTCTCGTTACAGTGTGTATGGTAACACCCATTGTTTCATGTTCTCTGTGTATATAAAATCTCCCCACTGTATTTTCCACTGAATGCATGTGATGAAGTGAGCTGTAGCTCACGAAAGCTTATGCTCAAATAAATTTTAGGCTCTAAGGTGCCACAAGTACTCCTTTTTATTGACTACAGTATAATTGATGGGAAAGTAATAAACACTTGTGTCGATACACAATTAATAGTGGAGGCCAGCTCACTCTCCTATAGCTGTTTTAACTCCTGCAGACTAACAGGAATAAACATGTCCATATTGTAGACATGCCATAGATTAGTCAGGTCCCAATTTGTTTAGGTCTTTGTAAAGTCAAAATCAACATTTGAGACTCCCCCTGGAAGCTACTCAGAAACGACACTTAACTATGGCTCAGCATTATAAAGTTCTGTCTGCAAAAAGCATTGCTTAGTGTGTTGAAAGTGGCTAATTCAACCTTCTGAATGCCTTTAAAATGCTGCTCGATGTGAGTTACATTAGAGAAGTCTACGCTAGAGGTGACAAAAGGCATGGTTAACTAGCAAGTTCCACATACAAAATAAAAGCTCACTTCCTTTGCTAGACATTAGTGAATAAAGTGCTCTTGGGCTCAGATAGTACCTGAGCAACCAAGGATCTAACAACCCCCAAATTGCAAACCTGCATACAAACAGGCACTCTTACTCCATGAGGAGTGCTGACTTAAATTTCAACTTAATAGATATACAATATAGCACTGGTAATTTGGTTCCTTGCATGTTTTCTCCAATATGAAGCCCTGTCCGTATTTCATACTATACTAGCAAATGTTCTGTATTCTGTTTTGTAAAGGTAGCTCAATAGGATTTTTGCTCTGCTGTGGGTGTAAGATTGGGCCTGAAGTCTTAGTAATAGAAGACTTCATTACAGCACTTGGCTACAGTATTAAGTCTTTGCTGAGAACAAGATATGGCTGTTTTTGAATGATTGCAAATTATGGTTTGTGCAGATTAGATTAGTCCAGAATTAACTTAATTTCCCATCCCTAGGGCATTTTGAAATGTATTTAATAACAAGGAAAATAGTTTTCTAAGAATATGGTAGCATACTGTCAGTCCATACCCTCTTTCTGCAATGTAAAAAAACTGAAGTGTCTACTGAAGATATTTACTTAAAATAATGGCTTCTAACACACACACACACAGAGAATCCAATATGCTTAATACAATAAATATTCATAATTTTTAAATACCTTTATTGGAGGCCACATGTTTGCAGCGTTTAAAAGACCAGAAAATAATGCAACTTAATGTTGCAAAAAAGACCGCATACTGAAAATTCCATTTTAAAAATAGTGACTTTAGGTCTAAGCGGGCACTGACAATGAGGACATGAATTGAAGTGAGGGAATTCTTTTACTGAAATTGGGAATCCTGGGACGTATTTAGTCAGAATATGTTTGCTTTTAAATCTGGTTTTAGCATGTTTTAACCAATATACAATTTACTGTTGCAGAAGTTTTATACTGCTTGTTTATACTACACTGCAGAGTTAAGTGAGTTGATTTCTAATGAATGTATTCAAAATTTGTTATAGTGACTGTTTGCTTTTCAAGTGAAAATTAAAAAGAAAAAATAGTCTCAACTTGCAGCATCTTCTAGTGGCCTTCAATGCACGCTCCAGTTTTAACCTTCATTTTAGACTTGTTGGCTAACTATTGGAAAGCAAATTCAGGTCTGCTGTAAATTGATATAACTCCACTAAAATCAGCAGAGATGCATCTACTTATGCTAAGCATTGAATTTAACCCCATGAGCTAAAAACTGCTGTGGAGTACAAAATTAATCTCTATCCCATAGTAAAGTATTCCTCCCTTTTTAAGTATCACTATATAATTTTGGGGAAATGGTGTATGTGGTGTACTGACGGGGAAGAAAAGTCAGTTAAACAGGTGTATTCATGGTTATTCAATAATATTTTATGGAAATTTGGGAACAAGCCAACATTGTGTGCCTGTAACCATGCAATATCGAGACCTAGTGCTCCCCAGCTCCTAAATATTTTGGAGAATTTCACTTGAAACACTTACAAATGTTGACAACTCTGATACAAACCCTGGCATGAACAATAGGGTACTGCTTCTCTACCACAGGAGAAGTTAGTTAAGTATAGGGAGTGCTACAAAGAAGTGAATAATCAACTTTCTCCATAATCTTAATGCTAGCCAGGTGTATAGTTATGTGATGACTGAGGCCAGGAGATCATGTTTATAAGTGAGCCGCTCAAATATTGCCTCATCTGTCCATCCAAAAATGCAAAGGCTAGGTCTGGCTATAGAATGATTACGGTTACTGCTGGCTTACGAAGCAGGAAACTGAAAGTAATTTTTATTAATTCTTTCTAATTAGTATTCTTATTATAAAAATTGGAGCAATATTCCCCTTTCTGGTCTGTTCTCTTTTTTCCCCCTACATTCTCCAGGTTTGTACGTCTGCCCTGTTACCTCTGCCAAATTTTTCCAACTGCTTTCCACAGTATGTACTCTGTGCCACAGCTGCAAAGTGAAACTTTCAAAACCCATTGGTAAGTTTCACTGTCGGTTAACAGCTTAGGAAGGTGTGGAGTAGCACAGCTGGTTGATAGCTCCCAATAACTAGAGCCCTGCAAATCTGCGGATATCCATGGACCATTTTTGCTGATCATGGATCAGATGTGATACAAATTTTGTATCTGTGCAGGGCTTTACTAATTTCTTATTTATGGAATATATTAAGGTATTTCATTAGTTCTGGGAACTTGTTAGCAAGATCTAACTTTTAACCACTTGGGCTGCCCTGTGAAAGTACAGCTATGTTTTTCATTGTTTCCTCCGATAGTGTAAACTGATTTATTTATTTGCTGCATAGACTCCCTATAAGATACAGCAGGTTAATAATCTCTATATCTGTCTATAATGGAAATGCAGTCTGGACTAGTTCTAAAGCCTGCTAATATAAGCTTTGCAGCATTTCAATCCAGGCGGGCTTATCATTTCACAGCTGGTAAATGATGAGGAACATGTGAGAACTGACTGTTATATTGAGAAAACATAAAGATTTATTCTAATGTGAAGGAAACTTTCAGGCTTAAATAGTTGATATTCAGGCTTTAGGGTTTATGCAAAGCTAGAAAACTGTTTGTATCAGCATTTATAAAAAGTGCAGTCAGCAGTTATTACTACTATCCAAGGAGACAAAGTGAAGACCATTTCTTTGCATTAAAACAGTTTAAGAATCTTCAAAGCATTCTCCTTGATTCAGAATGAGATTAATGTTCTTCTGCCAGCATGGAATTTTAACACTTTCTTGGAGCTAGTATAAACCACCTCCCATTTTTTCCCCTCGTATTTTGCAACCTTCGTTTTGGAGTTCCTAGTAACATTTGTTTTGCTTGGTGAGTTGTTGAATTTGAGGCTCTCTTTTTATACATATCTTGCAGTTTCTTCCAAACAAGTCTGTGCTTGAGAGTGTATCAAGGTTTGTTCTGAAGACAAAAGTTTCCATTTGAATCAGTCTAGAGTTCTGTCTGTTGTCCAAATTTACTCCTGGGGGGATTCTGAGTGACTGCTCGCCCCCAGAAAACAGCCCCTTGGCAGAATTCCTGTGCTTCCCTGCAGAAAACTGCTGGGAAGCAAAGGGAAGCCACGTGCAGGAGGAACGACCATGGGCGCAGTTTTTTGGGGGGATTGTTCCTCCGCCCTGTCAGGGTTCCCTCCCCACTCTGAACTCTAGGGTACAGACATGGAGACCCACATGAAAGACCCCCTAAGTTTATTTCTACCAGCTTAGGTTAAAAACTCCCTAGGCACAAATTCTCCCTTGTACCTTGGGTTTAAGTAACGCTGCCACCACCAAGTGATTTAACAAAGAACCGGGGAAAAAGACCACTTGGAGTTCCTCTTCCCCCAGCAATTCCTCCAAGCCCGTACACCCCCTTTCCTAGGGAGGCTTGAGAATAATATCCTAACCAATTGGTTACAAAATGATCAAAGACCGAAGCCCCTGGGTCTTGGAATAATGGAAAAATCAGTCAGGTTCTTAAAAGAAGGACTTTATTTTAAAAAAAAAAAAAAAAAAAAAAAGGTAAAAATCATCTCTGTAAAATCAGGATGGAAAATTCAGGGTATTCAGATTCAAAACACAGAGGATTCCCCTCTGGGCAAAACCTTAAAGTTACAGAAAACAGGAATAAACCTCCTTCTTAGCACAGGGAAAATTCACAAGAAAAACAAAAGATAAACTAATCCGCCTTGCCTGGCTTACCTATACTGGTTACAATATTGGAGACTTGGATTGGGATGGGTTGGAGAAGATGGATTTCTGTCTGGCCCTTCTCCGTCCCAAAAGAGAAACCCTTACATAAAACAAAGAGCACAAACAAAACCTTCCCCCATCCCAAGATTTGAAAGTATCTTCTTCCCCCATTGGTCCTGTTGGTCAGGTGCCAACCAAGCTATTTGAGCTTCTTAACCCCTACAGGTAAGGAAGAATTCTAGGCCACCCTTAGCTGTATGTTTATGACACCCCCAAACAGAGACGAGGCATGGGGGGGCACATGGGGTTACATGCCACTGACCCCCTCATTTCTGCAAGTGCAGAGCTGTCCAGCTGAAGGAGGCCTTGTCTCAACTCTGCTGACTCTGCAGCTGAACGCCGCCTCCTGGGTCCTAGTGCCAGTCGTGCTCCCTTTCTGTATGCTTCCTGTTTTCTGTGCAACAGTGAGTGCTGGTGGTGGGGCTGGGTAAGTGGGGGTGGGAGGAATAGGCAGTGGGGAAGGAAGGGGAGTGAAATAGGGGAGGGGAACGTGAGAGTGGGCAGAGGGGGAAGGAGAAGAAAAGGGTATAGGGGAATGGGGGGGGAGGGTCGGGGAGTGGGAGCCTGGCATGCGGCGTCTCCTCAGCAGCAGATGGGGCTCCCTAGATAAGCAGGCCCACCGAACGGTCACCCTGACAAACCCTACCCCCCTACACCTGGACCCCTCCAACGAGCCCCCCGCACCCAGGCCCCCACCCCTCTGATCCCCAAGTAGCTGCAGTTGGACTCCGACCCCCTCATCAAGCCCTACTCTCCCAGCACCTAGATCCCCCCGCCAAGCCCTATCTCCCCACACCCAGACCCTCCCACTGAGCCCCAACCATCTTCACCTGGATCCCCTGCAGAGTCCCATTGCCCGTGCACCCGGAACCCCCCAATGAGCCCCTGTGCATCTAGATCTCCCACTGAGCCCCCTGAACCCAAATTGCCGCACAACAGAAACCTCTCACCGCACACCCGGATCCCCCTGCACTAAGCCCCTCCACACCTGGATCCTGCTGGGCTGAGCCTGCCCACCCACAACTGGTGCACCTGGTGTAGAGGGACAGGACCCCCAGGGTGTTTCTGGAGCAGGCCCAGCCCTTGCACTGTGTCAGGGTCAGGTGCAGCCTCACTGTCGAGTCCCAGTACCCTGGGGCTTCAGGGTGATCTCCCACCTCAATACAGCCAGTGGCCTGTGCTCCCCACTGCCATGCTAGAGCCACATTTATTTATAGATAAATAAAATTTGCAGAATTTTAAAATATTGTGTGCATGATTTTTAATTTTTGAATTTTATTCAGAATTTTATTTTATTTTTTTGGTGCAGAATTCCCTCAGGAGTAAAATGTCTTTGATAAACCTATCATATTTGTAGAGCACAAAAACTACTAGGTACCTGTGTAGGATCCAGAAATTTGTACAAGATGATGGACTAATAAAAAGAGTAGCCCAGCTTTCAAAAATACCAGATACTCTTAGATTAGGTCCTAAATTATGGTATCTTACAAAGCCAGAAGAAATGAATCACTTCAGTTTGTTTCAGAGTAACAGCCGTGTTAGTCTGTATTCGCAAAAAGAAAAGGAGTACTTGTGGCACCTTAGAGACTAACCAATTTATTTGAGCATGAGCTTTCGTGAGCTACAGCTCACTTCATCGGATGCATACCGTGGAAACTGCAGCAGACTTTATATACACACAGAGAATATGAAACAATACCTCCTCCCACCCCACTGTCCTGCTGGTAATAGCTTATCTAAAGTGATCATCAAGTTGGGCCATTTCCTGCACAAATCCAGGTTCTCTCACCCCCTCACCCCCCTCCCAAAAACCACACACACAAACTCACTATCCTGCTGGTAATAGCTCATCCAAAGTGACCACTCTCCCTACAATGTGCATGATAATCAAGGTGGGCCATTTCCAGCACAAATTCAGGTTTTCTCACCCCCCCCACCCCCATACACACACAAACTCACTCTCCTGCTGGTAATAGCTCATCCAAACTGACCACTCTCCAAGTTTAAATCCAAGTTAAACCAGAACATCTGGGGGGGGGGGGGTAGGAAAAAACAAGGGGAAATAGGCTACCTTGTTTAAAGCTCGCTATCGGGACAGTGACTCACATTCGGAGAGACCAAAGCAAGTCCTAGGACCTTGGAGAGCAACAAGCTGTTTATGAAAGCTGCACATGTTTATGAAAGGCACAGTTATATAAATGAAATTCATTGGGAACATTATTCAAAAAAGATGCTTTTGCACTGTTTCCCTCCATTCCCCCATGAAGGTACTGCTTTTTGAGTAAAAAATGAAGGGCGAAATCACTGTGAAAAGCTGTAATATTGTATTTATCTATTTATCTGTGTTCAGCAAACAAAAGAAAAACTCTCTTCCCCTCTTCCCTCCCAGGCAAATTTGGACTGACCCTATTTATGTTTATCAAAAGTGGTGGTGTGCATTTTGTAAATATTACTCTCTTCCTCCTTTCTGGGAGAATTAAATTTAGAGCAATTTTGACATTGAAGTAAACTTGAAGGAAGACACAAACAGCAGTTTACTTAGTTGCTATTTTCTGTATTTCCCTTGCTGTTATTGAAGTTGTTAGCGAATGAATGGGATATTGAAGATGACTGATGTTACAATATCACCATTGTAACATCAGTTCAAGATTGATTAAGTAGAAAGAATAGGCTAAGAAGAAGAAATCACTTATTTAAATACTCATCTTCGTTAATAAGTAAAATGGATATTAATAAGAAAATGAGTTTAAAATTAGACGTAGATTGTATTTAAACTCTGTTTTAAAGCTTTCCTCTCTTACGTATTAGCTCCTATGGAACACATTTTAACCAATGCTCTCTTCCGTAGATAGTAACTTTCTTTCCTGTATTTATTTAGAATAGTTCTTAAATGATTGCAAGGTGGGATGTGCAGTGACTTTGATATTTTTAGTTCTACCTTCTGTTACAAGATGGATCTGATGCAAGTTCACCATATTCTTGTTTGCCACTTGGGGTCACTCTATTTCCATTCTGCTCCCTTCATACTCTACATTCACATTTGCTGTGCCATTCAAAAGAATATTTTGGCTTCTCCCCCAATCCACTCTGGTCTATAAGGAAGGAGCTGTGCCACCTGCATTCTTTCACTTTGTGAGTGGGCTTGCTTCTTTTCCAGCTGCCGCCTTTCTGCGTGGCTTGGGACTACCAAATGCTGCACTGCACAGAAAAAAGGAGACCAAAAATCAGGCTGCAGCACTCATGCACTTCACAATATCTTGTTGATTTGTGGGCGGGCGGGCTGGATGAGATAGCTCGGGTAGTAATAATGAAGAGCTGACTGAAGTGGCTAGTAACATATTTAAAATGTCTGCAAGGCTTGGAGATCTAGGTTGTCTGATATGGCTCATTTGAGACAGCAAAGCTGCTCTAGCTTGATGACTTCCATGCTTTTTCAATCCCATGTCTTTTATCAGTTATGGAGAATCTTTGTCCTGTTGTAAGAATGTAGGTAAGGATCTCGGGGATAGTTTTCTTCTGATTCAGGCAGCAGCCTTAATTGTGTGCAGATTGAGGCAGTGTCTCATATGATAGGTTCTGTGACAGGTGCCATTGTGAACTGGGGTACCACTGAGCCCTCTGACCCACCAGCCTGGGCTCCCTCTCACACTGTGCTGCTGTGACAAGCTGTAAAGCCCTCCAGCCTGCACTTTCACCAGCATTCACACAGGTAGGGACACACTCAGCTGCAGACTCTCTAATCACCAACTTTCCAGCCTAGGACCCTAGAGAAGTACCATCCTGTCCTTATCAAATCTGGCTAGTATATGGGTTTAATGCCCAGTGTGCCTCTTCCTCAGTGTGAACAATGCACACTTGTGGTAACCAAGCAGAGATTTTCCCCAAGCACTCCAGTCAAAGCTCACTGGTTTGGATAAAAACATAAAATAAGTTTATTAACTATAAAAGATAGATTGTAAGTGATAGCAAACAGATAAAGCAGATTACCTAGTAAATAAACAAAATGCAAACAAAATCTAAGATATTAGAAAGATAGGATATGAAGTAGCAAATTCTCACCCTGGCTGATGATACAGGTGGGCTGCAGATTCTTATGGGACAAGCTGCACTTACTTTACAGCTTGGAATCCCCAGGTCTTTCTTACACAGACTAGAAATCCCTTTAGCCTGGGTCCAGCACTTCCCCCAGTTCAGTCTTTGTTCCTCAGGTTTTTCCAGATGTCATCTTGTGTGGGGAGTGAAGAACCACAGATGATGTCACTCCCTGCCTTATATAGAATCATAGAATATCAGGGTTGGAAGGGACCTCAGGAGGTCATCTAGTCCAACCCCCTGCTCAAAGCAGGGCCAATCCCCAATTTTTGCCCCAGAGCCCTAAATGGTCCCCTCAAGGATTGAACTCACAACCCTGGGTTTAGCAGGCCAATGCTCAAACCACTGAGCTATCCCTTCCCCTGCTTTAGCATAGGGCAGGAACCCTTTGTTTCAAAGCTTGGTTCCCAGACCAGTTTGTGGAAAAATACTGACATCCCAAGATGGAGTCCAGGATCATGTGGCCTGGTCACATGTCCTTGTAGAGTCATAGCATCCATTACTTACATGCTGTCTAGAGGGTTCTCAGCAAGGCTCACCCAGTGGGGGATAAGCTTCTCCTAAGGCCTGTTGTTCTTTTTAATGGCCCATTACCCTGAATAGGCCCTTTACAACCTGATATTTAGTGGGTGTTACCCAGGTATAACTACATTTGAAGTACAGCTACATAGTCAGTATTTATAACTTCAGATACAAAAATGATTCATGCATACAAATAAGATAATCATATTCAGCAAATCATAACTTTTTCAGTGACACCTTACATGACCTATCTTGTACAAAAAGCATAATAATTATGTCATAATCATAGTATAAAAATATTACTATAACGACTATAGGGTGCAGTGTCACAGGTTCCTTCTAATAGTTCATTTTTTCCAAGTAGTAAGTGAAGGTCACCTAAGGGTGACGCGCTTGGTTCCTTCAGTAATGCTGGAATGTAGTCTTTCACTTTTAATGTAATCCTTCCCTCTCAAGGGAAGTACCCATACATTTTCATAACCTCAAAATTGTCTTCCTTTTAGCATTATTCTCAGCTATATGGGTAGGAGATCTGCAACCCCTGTCCTATAGGGCAGGGGTTCTTAACTTTTTTCTTTCTGAGGCCCCCCCAACATGGTATAAAAACTCCAAGGCCTGCCAGTGCCACAACTGTTTTTCTGCATATAAAAGCCAGGAGCAGCATTAGGGTGTAGCAAGCAGGGCAAGTGCCCAGGGCCCCACACCACAGGGGATCCCCACAAAGCTAAAGTTGCTCAGGCTTCGGCTTCAGCCCCAGGTGGCAGGGCTGGGAGCTTCAGCTTTCTGCCCT